GTTGTTGATTAAGTCTATAAGCCATTAAAAAATCCCTATCATACAAGAGTAGATTTTAGTTAGTATCGATGATATATTCCAAGACACTAATATATATACATATATACATATACTAGGACATATGAACATACATCCACATATACAAATATATAATAATGTATAAATACCCATATGGACACATCCACGCATACACATATATAAGTACACTCCCATCCACTCATATGCACATAAAGATACACACATATACATATGCATACATATACATATATACACACTTAAACACATAAATACAAATACATATAAACATACATATATATTCAAAAATACACAAACTCACATATACATATATAAATATATATATACACACACACACATAAATACACATACATATATATATATACAAACATAGACTTATACACTTGGCAGTAAACACAAACCAAAGTTGACATACCTACACATACACACAATCTCACATATGATAGGTGTCAACACATACATATACACCCACACACACATATATATATATATATACATAAACATATACACACATATATATATAACAAGTATATACATACATAAACAAATATACACACTCACATATATATATACACACACACACACACACACACAAAATACACATAGAAATACATATATACACATATAGACTTACACATGCGGCAGTAAACACAAACCAACACACATACATACATACATATATATATATATATACATACATATATATATATAAATATATAAACATAAACATATTTATGATAACAAGTACATATACACATACATACATATATACACACATATATGCACACATACTCACACATAAATACACAAACATATACATATATACACACATAGACTAACTCATGTGGCAGTAATGATAAACCAAAGTTTAATTACCTACACATACAATCTCATAATATAATAGGTGTCAACAATATATATATATATATATAATTACCTACTCACTTTCATTTATTAGACATTGAATTGTATCACCTAATGTCCGCCATAAACTTGACCAACTTTTCCATTAACCTGATGAATATTCATGAGATTCTATACCTAAAATTTTGAAAAACTAATAGTATTTTTGCTTTTGTATATAAATACTTTTCACAAAATTATTACATTTGCCATAAAATCTCTCAGCAGACGAAACATGTTAGCTAAGTTTTCTTTTTGTCTTTATTCATAGTCCGTTTACAGATATACTCTATCTGAAATTTTTACATATATATGTATGTATAAATATATATATATATATATATATATATATATATATATATATATATATAGATAGGGTATATTTAAGTAACAAGAATTCATTCAAACAAGTTTTGTTAAATTCAATCGACCAGGTATGTCTGTTTAATTTTTTACTTATATTTTCCAGTTTTTGAATAAGATGTTGTACATCAGGATCTAAATAGTTGATAAACTGTTCAAAGAGACACTCTAAAGTTCTTGTCCAAAAATGGAACAAAACATGAACTTTGGATAGTTTATCAAAAATTTTGATCCTGATATATGGCATCTTATTTAAAAAAAAAAAAAAAAACGAAAAACACAACATACAGGGGGCTGCAAAAGTAGGTATACAGTAAGTATTATACCAGTATTACTTTTATAATAATAGCTGTTCTCAGATTCATTTAATTCACTAAAATCATTTTTAATATTTTTATTTTCATAATTTTTATAATACATTGATTATAATTTTTAGTTTTTAATAAACAAATGATTTGCAGGTAAAGAGGAGTGTGTGAATGACACCAGCAAACAGTTTGAACATTTGTGGAGTTGATATGTTTAATATTGATATGTTTGTATAATCAGTAATTTTTCATTACTGTATGTCTACTTTTGCACCACCTTTATACATAGGTACCTCCAAAGAAAAGCAATACCTAAGGTTTAAAAAGTTTTTATTTTAGTTTTAATTTCAAGCTAATAGATTTAATTTAATATTTCCAATAAGCAAATTACTTTGCTGCATTTCAAAACAAATTTAAATTAACTGGAAGGAGTTTCTTTTAATTGTTAAAATCTGTCCTTGTTTGCAAATCTGTCAACACATAATTCTTGTCATTACAAAATCTTTGAAAAATAAAAATATACTTTTCTGAAACGTCATTTGAAATTTGAGGAAGATTTAAAGTTGAATTAATCTGATTTGAAACAAGAATTACTTTTAGTTCAAAATATCGCAGAATAGCTTTTTGTTAACATGGAGGTGTGTGCTTTTACGAGGTACTGACAATGCTCTTGACAGACTTACATTTGGAAATTTTTGGGACTATTACTGTAACAATTAACGAATATAACATGAGCATATATTACATGTTTTTATATATATATATATATATATATATATATATATATTTAACCATCCTGTAATCTTAAAAATTTAATTAAATCTAATATTTTAATGCATTTTAGGTACTTTGGTTTTATAGTGTTAGTTAAGAAAATTGTTAGAAAATTACTATAGTTACCAATCTTATTTTGTGATAATGTTGTGTATGGGACAGCCGTATTCACAAAATTGGCACATTGATACATACATCAAAAAAAAATTCAATTTTTTTTTTTTTTTTTTTTAAATACTGAGGTAAGCTTTTTCATTTATGATTAGTAAATATAGTTTTTACTTAATAACAATATCATGGAGCCACTACAAATTAAAATAGAATTATAAATTATTCTAATTAAAATTTTCAAAAATGAAAACAATTCTTGTAAAAATTCATTATTCATCAAAAAACTTTTTTTCTTAAAACATTAGTGTCCATAATATATTTTATACATAAAAGCAAAAAAACTTTTCTAATTAAATAATGTCTTTGTTTTATTACATTTTACAAGTCAGAGCAGATATTTAGTAACTGAGGGTCCTGTTTGACAAAAAAAACACAAAAAAAGATTCAAATTCTCAGAGGACTTGTGCTTATAACTAATATAAACTGTAACCTCTACTAAAATGAATTACTTAAAATTGTATCAAATTACATAAGTTGCAGGTAAAGTTCTAAAAAAATTTTTTACCAAGATTTTCTTGAAAACAAAAACGTTTGTAAGATAATTTTGCAAATAAGTCCTGAAAGTTTAGTTAAAGTCTGACAATTATCTGATTTTTGCAATAATTTCCAAATGTTTTTCACCACAAAATGACGCTAAAATGTTCTATACTGATTTATGATCACCCATTGACGCATGAAAAACAAAATTTTTAAGGTTCTAAAAAGCATTAAAATATATAATTTAATAATCAAAAAATCTTTTGGTCTTTCCTCTCAAATAATAACAAAGATTTTAGCGATAAAAGTTTGCTTGTAAGTTCGGGGCATTTTTTTTTTTTTGGCAAATCTTTGGAGGTACCAATAGATACCTTAAAAAATTTCACAAAGATACAAGATGAAAAAAATAACCAAAATGTAATAAAAACAAAATTTCATCAAAATTTTTATTATTTTATTATTAAGATCAAAGGATTTTTTCATGTAAAAAAATTTTTTTTAGAACCTTGGAAATATTTGTTTTTTTAGTGTCATCATGAGACCTTAAATTTTTTTTGGAAAATTTCAGTGCTTTGTGCTTTGTAAAACCCATTGATTTGAAAGTTTTTGCAAAAATCAGATAATTGTTGGATTTTAATTAAATTTTCAGTATTTATTCAGAAATGAATGCAATTATTTTTTAAAACATTTCTTTTTTAGAAGTTCTTTGTAAAAATATATATATTTTTTTACATCTATTATCCTCATTTAATTTTATGAACTGTTTATGCTTAATGTTGATATTTTTTTAAAGACAAGTCCTCAGAGAATTTAAATCATCTGCCCTGAATCATAAAATGAAAAATGCAAAAAAAAAAAAAAATAAATAAATAAAAGGCTTTTTTTTTTAAAATTAAGAGATCTTAACTGCTTTTATTAATAAAATATATCGTCTTAAGAAAAGTCTTTTTTTTAACAATGAGATTTTGCAAGAACTGTTTACATTTTTTTTTAAATTTTAATAATTTTTAAACTTTTAAAATTCAGTATTATAATTAAATTGTGTAGTGGCCAAGTGATATTGTTATTAAAATTGTATTTCATAATCATAAATAGAAAAGTTCCTTAACAACATGCAGTATTTTAAAACAAATTTTGAATTTTTTTTGTGTGTAAACCGTAAACGTGTCAATTTTTGGAAATATGAACATCCATGAAAAATTAAGACATGTACGTATATAATAAATTTAAAAAAATGTCCCACTGGTAATTTTCTAACATTTTCTCAACAAGCGTCTTCGTAAGAAAGTATTAAAAAAAAAAAAAAAAAAAAAAAAAATTCAATAAAATATTAGATTGCTTAGATTATATTTTCTAATAATAAATCTGCTAATTTTTAGCAATAAATTTTTTTTTGGCTTTTTTTAAAAAATATATTTTATTTTTTAAAGATTTTTTTAATAAAGAGAATTATTTTGTACTGAGAGATCTGTCAAATATATACAAATTTATTGATATATATATTTTTTTTTACTGATAATTACAAAAAAAAAAAAAAAAAAAAAAAAAACTAAACAGTCCAATCAATTTTTAAATTCAGTTGGAAACACCAAAACCAAAGTAGTTTGCTTATTGGAAATTAAATTTATTAGATTGTAATTATAACTAAAATTGAAATTTAAAGATTTTTCAAAATTTTTTTAAATTAAGTGTATTTTTTAATACTTATACCAGTTTTTTGGAGGTACCTCTCTACCCCCACATATAGGATACACATACAGAAAAAGAGACATTGGGTGTACCTACCGAATGACAAAAAACAGTAAAAGATTACTAATGAATATTATATTGGACATTTTAACAAAAGATAAAAATTAGTAAAACATACACGTAAAAAAGAAGAAAATTAAAATAATGACTAGAGAAAAATAGTTTCATTTTTACAAGGAATAAAAATTTACGAAAAAGTTAAATAACTTTTTCTTAAATTTATTTACAATATCGATCGGATTTCATTTTTTCTCGTCTATCTAATAAATTCTCATGTAAAGTTCCTTCCTTTTTCGCTTTTTTAAGTACTGAGGGATCCTCTTTACAAATTTTCAGGTGCCTATCTTGAAAACTCTGAAATTTCTTCACGTAGTTGATCTCAGCTTGTTTCACTGATGCCCGTTCTTCAACGGGGATGTCAGCCATGGGGTCCTTGCTGAGATCGGCGCACGATCGAATAGAAATCATCTCGTTACTACCAGCTTTTCTCTGGTTACATAGAATGTTTCCATCTTCATCCGATGTCAGAAAGCAGCCGTTGGGACCACATATGGCCATTTCACCTTCCTGAAAAACAGGTTCCCATTGTTCACGCTCACCGATTGCGTCAGAACGTCCAAGAAGTTCACCACTAGACTTATCCACACTTAGATATTTACCATAGCCTGATTTAAGGGCGATTTTAGTTTCGTTCAGTTTGATGGCAGTTAGAATTTCAGTCGGGTCTGGTGGGTCCGCGTCAGGATGAACAGGTCCAAGTTCAAATAAACCGCTGTCGAGAGTGTTGATATAACGCTGAGGTTTCATTTCAATAGCGACGGCACCACCACTCATATCTTCTATTGACATCGTTTTCCACCAACCACCGTGTTCTTTTGTATCTTCCGAAACTGGTTCTTGACTGACAGCCGTAGAAGTCGGTTCGTGTTTTCTCTTTTTGCTTTTTTTATGTTTCTTTTCTTTGGGACCCTTTAGTCGTAACTTGCCACCTTTGGCATATACGTAAGAATCGGCCATTAGTAAGGTAAGGTGGATGCTTGTGGTAATTAAATAATTAATAGGACACTTTTGGATATACAAAATAATTAGAGTCAATTGATTCTCAGTTAAAATACTGATACCTTCTTTTTTTTTCTTTAAGAGTGCACTAAAATCAAGTCACAAACATCCGGAATAACTCTTCCACGCGTATAACGACAAAGAAACGCTTATATCATTAAAAATACAATAATAAAATACACTCTGTACTAATTCAATAAAATGCAGTAAAAATAATTCATAGATTACAATCTTTAATTCAATAAAATACAGTAAAAAATAATTTAAATCTAAACTGGAAATAAGCTACAATTTTAAAAACACATAACTAATTGATTAATAATTGTAAACGCTGTAAGGGGCCATAACCGCTTAACTGTGGTGACTATGAAAATAAGTTCCTCTGATACAAAAATACCCGGATAATGCGTTTCATTAACTGCTTGAAGTTCTTAAAAAATCATAAGCATTAAAAAATTCGAAACTTCTAAATTGAAAAATGTAAAAACAAAAAAAAATTATTACTTTTGATATTTAAAATTATTTTTACAGAAAAAATATTATGTAAGAAGCTGTTTTAAAAGTCTGAGTACACCAGCACAAGTAGTGATTTATGAGTAACGCTTCTTTTGATTGGTCCAATTGAATTCACCGCTGATTTACTTTAGTTACTCAGTATATGATTGGCTGAAATCTCAAAGCGGTTAACTTAAATGTTGTTTTTAGTTATTAATGACTATAGTTCGTCATGGAACTGCCTTCTGGGTGAGTTTATTTATGTGTGACAATTGCTATCCTTAGCGAGAATTAGGTTTTTATCTTATTTAAATGTATATTTAAAAAAGAATAAACGAATTTAATTTTTCTTTTCTGGTTAGAAATATAATTATTCTTATGCTTTGCTTTCATCGCTGCATTTCATTTTTGCTTCGCTTATAAAGCCTAAAAAGCATTTTAAAAAAATGTAATTTTAAAAAAATTCAAGTAAAATTAAAATTTAAACACTGGACATATACATGCTACTGCTGCGGATCGATTTCCTTTTAAAACCTTTCATTGTTAGATGCTTATTAATATTAACCGTTTTTAAAACTGATCACTAATCTTTGTTTTATTTTTTAGTTAAAAAAAACTGGCCGTCAGCTACTCTAAGATAATATTTTATTCTTTTATTTTGAAATGACAAGTTTGTTGGAAATTTAATTATAAAAACTTGCTACTTTTTTTTAAAGAGGCCATCATCTTTAAAACTATTAGAATTTTTAAAACAATGAAAAATGACTTATAAAAAAAAGTAAACAATAAAAAAATGTTAAAATATGTAAAGTTGGAGTTATGGAATCAAATTCCAGATTGAGAAAGAATTTATTTTCATACGTATAGCCACACCAGATACGGAATTACAACCATAATTCTTTGCCTTGCCTCATATTCTGAGCAGCACACATTTAATCGACGTTTGTGACTATAACGCAGAATTTATTTGTAATATAAAAATAAAAATCTTATCCATTGCTTTTTGAGTTTTACATTTTAAATTATGCTACATAAAAATAAAGGTAAATTTTAATTGTAACACCCGAGCGCTAATATCCCTTCAAATCTTTCCAAGACTTATCACTGTTTTTCATACATTTGATTTGAATATTAACTTTTTTTTTTAAAAAAACATTACTTTGTTATCCTTTTGTTTGTCGATATTTTCATATTATAAAATTATCACTTATATTTGAATGTTAACTTTCTTCTTAAATTAAGTACAAATAAAAAAAATAAAAAAAAGAAGAAAATCACTTTATGGAGAAAGTTAACTTTAAATTAAAAAGAAAAAAGGGCGTGCTAATTGCTTTCAGGGAGTAAATAGGCCAAAGTAAAGTGCGTGAAATGATTCAGCAGCGAATGTCTCTCGATAAGCTGGTAAGGGATGACAAAAGAGCGAGAAGAAGTCCGATTTTTTTCTGGTCGTTAACATCCAAAAAGGTAGGTTTCTTCAATATCTAATTGTTGATTTGAGTTACACATTTGCATGGAAATAAAACTATTTTGGAAAGATTTGAAGGGATGTTAGTGCTCGGGTGTTACAATGAAAATTTACCAAAATAAAATTAAATAGCCTTCAAAAATGATATTTTTTCTTTCGATTAAATTTAAATAACTTTCTTAATCTCCATGAGGTAAAAAAAAAATACAAAAAAAATAAATCAACTACAGTAGAACAAGTGTCAACAGATAAAAATCGACAACTACAATTAATTTACATTATTTGGACTATTGTCCTCATCTTTGTCACCATATTTATTACAATGTTTCGGCCATTGTACGCTCCGGACTTCTTCAGGTGGTTGGAATGTCAAACTGAACCCTTTATTTCGCTCACTAGGGTAGACTATTCTAGTTCCACGTGCCATGTTTAATGGATGTCAGATTATCAGTTATCTCCTGTTAATTCCCCTCTCCAAGTTCTCCACTGCCTTAACTGGGTATTGAACTCACACCTCAAGGACACATGGCACAGTGGATAAAGGCGTTGGTTAAATCTAGAGACAGGACCCTAAATATGGTGACAAAGATGAAGACAATAGTTCGAATAATGTAAATAGTGTACATAATACCTCATCTCAGAAATATAGACGGATGCAATTATTTTGGAATACGAAATTCAAACAAGTTCTTTAAGAACTTTAATTTTACTTGTAAAAACTAAAAAAAAACTATAAATATTTTTATATAGTGAAATGCCTTTATCTTTATCGCTTGATTCATATCCGACCAAAATTGGTGAGCAACTGGCATGAGAAACAAGTACACACACCATAACAAACAAAAGCAAAAAGGTTTTTTTTTTTTTTTTGTTACTGCGAAGACAACAAAAAACGCGCCTGAAATAATCACCAACTTAATTGGAGCCTCTTTCAACTTCACTAACAATATAAATAGACAAAAAAGTCTAAAAGCAAAAAAGGCAGAGATACCAACAGGAGACATAGAGAGATGAACCCTTACAACTGTGAGTGGATACATTGGATAAGGCATCTTAACTTCAATAACCACGATTACACTTTTCTCGTCATTTTCACCCCCCTCCCTTCTCTCATACATTCTACCTCTTTTTTTCTCATTCACTTAAGTACTTTTACAAACTCTTGTATTCATTGAGATGTAACAAGTAAAAAAAAAAACAAACATTTTGTTTAATCTTACTTAAATCCTGACCTTGTGCCATCTATGAACATTACTACTGTTTTTGTACAATACAAAACTACTTATTAATGTTTATATAAATTATTATTGTTATATTCCAGGCTTGATTGTCCTTAAGAGGTAGTTTATTATGTTTTATTTACTTATTCATACATGTATGAAAATTTCTTCAATTTAAATGAGAAGACAATATTTATGAATAAAAATGACAATAGGAAAACTGGTAATTGCTGACACGTTTCGTCCAATGTGAACTTTATTAAAGCAAAATATGAAAATGAAATTAATTGAACAAAGTAACTAATAAAAACAAAAACAGAATGTACCTAGCAACTGGAATGTAGAGAAATGCTATTTTCATATTTTTAACTGAAAATAACGTCAGTCACGTCATGTGTAGAGAATATTGTCATTATATCTGTGTTGATGTATTCAACCATTCATACATCCCTTATAGTGGACTAATCCTGACAAGGCCCAAATCACACCCCACAAATAACCCACTATACCATGACAACAATTTACACTACACGTAAGCTGCCATCAGACAAACGGGATAGATTATCTTGGATAGAAAAGAAAATGACTGAGCTGACATTACACCATGCTTTCTCAGGCCGATGTCAAGACACTGATACTAAGTAGTGCAGATTTTCTAGCCAATTTTGAAATATCTTTGCATATATCCAATCAAACACTCACAGATAATGTAACAAAACTTGCAGTTCAAGGAAGTCAGTCTCCATACATTTCTACTGGAATTGTTTTCGTTTTACCTGAGAATGGAACATACCAAAAGTTACTTAAAAAAAATTTCTGGCTATCACAGCTCTTTTCAAATATGCTGACAAAGTGCACCACTTTGAAGCACACTATACAAAGACCGCCAGACAATCCATTTTACCCTGCAGAGACTGAGTCCTGAGAAATATAAAATTGCAGATGCAGAATTCCAGCACATGTTAGGCAAATACGTTGATTTGTTGATTTGATTAATTATCATCATCAATTTATACTGAAATGTTCAATGTTATTCCCTCTTACAAATTTATTAAAAAACTAGAGCAAAAATTATAATACAAGGTCCTAACCTAAACACTTACAATGATGCTAAAAATACGCTAGCAAATTTTATGAAATTGAGTTAGGAACCAGACACTCAACTCTCACTCAAACAAATGCATAGTCAAAATCTGTTGGGGCTGTGTAGTGAACTACTACAGATGGCAAAGAAGCCCAGAGTTGCATGCATTTTTGTAATGCTAAAAGGAATTGACTTAACTCCAGGGCAAACACAGATTTGAACATGCCTCGCATGTAAATTGTCCAAAGAGGAAAGAAATGGCAGCTTTGTGGGTTACATATTTAAAACAGATAAATCTCTGATTCAAATACTCTCTCATGAGATTATCTTTTCACATATGTAAATTTTGGCTGTGAACAAGGAGATAAAAACTGGCAGAAAGCAGTGACAGGCAGAAATGGTTACTGCCATATTGAACAGACTACATTTCTTGCGGTCAGTAGAGTGATTGTGAGGAAACAGATTTTGTTAATTGTTTGTAAGAAAAGAAATTAAAAGTTTACAACCTTTTATTACAAACTGTCATACAACAGATTAGAAAGTGTGAAGCTAAACCCATTTTCTTCTTTTCTGTCAAGTTGAATACAGTGAAAAAGAAATACAGTAACTCTTCAAGAGAATGTCTGGCAATTTATCTGTCACTAAAATAGTTTTGGCATATCTTAGAAGATCGACATTTTGCCATATAGACTGACTTCAGGTCACTTATATATGCCTTGCATAGTAGCACAAACAGTCACCATGTGAAATGCATCACCTTGATTAGATTTCACAATTCACCTCAGACGTTCGTTATATCACAGGCAATGAAAACATTGTAGCTGACATGCTTCTTTCCAGATCAATAATTCCAACAGTTGATTCAAATGTGCTAAGTTATAAGGGAATTGTCAAAGAACAGATGAAAAATTCTCCGCTATTAAAAGTTCAGAATCATACATCACTTCAGTTATGTGAATTACTGGATTCTTTTAGAGATTAAACTATTTTTTGTGATAGGGTGAAATGTCATCTCAAGCTTATATACCACCATCATTACACAGACAAATCTTACATCACTTTCACGGTTTATCAAACCCAGAAAGACAAGCTACAGCCAAACTCATTGGTGATTGTTTCGTTTGGCCAAACATGTGCAGGGATATTCAGCAGCAAAACTGAAATAAATGTCAGAAACACAACAATAAATAAACATACAACATCACTGCCAGGACGTTTCAGCAAAGCCATGGAAGAATTACTAACTTAGATATTGAGATTGTTGTACCATTTCCAATGATAATGGATTCAGCTACTTCCTAACAATAGTGGATCATTTTAGTAGATGGCCTGCTGTATTCCCAATCAAGGACATTTCAGCAGAAACTACTGTCATCATGGAGCAATGGAGCACAACATATGATGTACCTTTTAGTCATTACAAGTAACGGGCACAGTTTCAATCTGTGTTGCTCTGAGAATTTGCGGACTTCTTGGGTGTTAAACACATCAAAATTGCTGCATATTACCCGTGCACTTAGAGCATTTTCACAGCCAAGTAAAAACAGCTCTGGCAACTAAAGTTTGACCATACAACTGGGTTGATAATTTACCACTCACACTGCTATCTATATGAAGCATAATTAAAGATGATTTGGTCTGTACCCATTCAGAAATGGTTTTTGGTACTATTATGATTTTACCTGGTCAGTACTTTGAGGCCATTCGCCTAGAACAAGCTACTGCAAGTATTGTTCAGGCTTTTATAGTTAGAATGAACAAGTTACTTTTCATACCAACAAGGCATTGCAACAATCATACATCACAAAAAACCTGCAGAACTGTGAATGCATTTTTCTTTGTAACAGCAGGAAAAAGAAAGCATTATTCCCAAACTACTTTGGACCATATCAATTCTCAAAGATGGTAAAAGACATTGACCATAGATAGAATAAAATCTGTTTATCAAGACAAATAACCTTTTTGTACAGAACAACCATCAGCAACACATTTCCCAGACTGTACTACAACACAAACTACAAAATCCTCAGCCAACCAACCAACCAGCTCCAAATAATAAGAACTCTACAAGAGATTCACAACAAACAACAGATAATTCAGCAGCCAAAAGAAAGCATTCAACACAGAATGACCAAATCTGGTATGAAGGTCACTTAGTCTAAACATTACAAAACATATTAATAATACACTCATTAATATCTCTCTCTCTCTCTTTTTCAACTCTCAATCTGAGCAGTGTATTTGTGGAGTGGAGACAGAAATAAACATCAAAATGATCAAATGACAAAATAATGGTTTGAGTCAGATTGTTTCTTTTTTTTTTTAAATTGTTTTTTAATAACGTCATTGTTAATTATTTCATCTTTCTCACTCACGTTTTTTTTTTTTTTTTTTTTCTGCATTTAAATTGTCTTCAAGAGAATTCCATGTTTCATTTTTCATAGATGAATATTTTCTCAGAAAACCTGTTGCCCTACATCACCGAAATAGAAAAAAATTTCCTTTGATATGTTGTGGAGATTATATCCACAATAATACACTAAAATACAACCATAAGTTTATGAAGAGAGATTGCTAAGCAACGTGCACTAAAACGAATTGGGTGACTGCTTTTTGAAGAGAAAGAAACTCAGACTTTACCATTTAAATATAGTTAATATCCAAGTCAATAAAGAGAAATAAAGGAAAAAGTTCTTGAAAACAATATGCGTCTGTAGATTTAGCTTAGGAGAAAAAGCATTCAGCTACCTTGTTAACAGTCTATATTGAAGGAGAAGTCTTTTTCAGTCCTGAGATAGCTTCTCTCGGTAGTTGTAATATCTTTGAAGTTGCTGGCTTGGTTAAGTCCTAACTAGATGTCACTGGATGGGCTTGCGGTGAAAGTAACTGCATTGCTTCATGCCTCCTGAGTAACAAGGTGGAAGAATAAGGAGCATAGGTCTTTGAATTTGACACTTATATAGCCAGAGTCACACGATCCTTACAGAGGCAGTAATTGGTTTTTCCTTTAGCAATTCAGTGTCTTTTTTATTCTGTGCTTAATGATATTTTCTGATTTTCTTTTTCTTTTTTCTTTTTTTTTCTAAATTCCAATAATTTTGATTTGTCTTGCAATGATTGATATTTTTTTTGTTGTTGTTCTCTTTTCAGAACTGTGCTTGACACACACAAAGAATTTGAAACCTTGAACCAGTCACTGTTGTTTTATGAGGAGAAATTCAGCAATGACTTGTCCTTACTTGTAACTTCCTTCAAATCATCTGAAGCTAAAATTCAAGCTAGCAAAGGTATTCATATTAACTCACATTATAAATTGAGCAAATATTTCATATGAATTTTTTCTTAGTCTCTCTGGTGCTTAGTGTGTGTCTGTGGTGGGGAGTCATGTTTGATTTTGTTGAAAATGGTTAACTTTGTTGTTGTCTCTTGTACCATGTCTGCCTAATGTCCTCTTGGAAGATCATTGTAAAATGACCTTTACCTAAATAGCTATTTCCAAATTTAGTATTATGTCCCTTTAAGCAGTTTTTCAATAGTCTGGAACAGGGGTTGGCAACCTTTTGCTAACTCTGTGCTGACTTAGGGTTTTAAAATCATTCAATGTGCCAACAGCATACATATTTTTAAACAAGTCAAGGTCAATATACCAGTTCTACAATATATTTTGTATAGTAATATATAGTATATATACTTTAGTATATATTAAGATTGAAACAGCTAAATATCTTCTTTGCATTGTAGCAATTATTGGTTTGAACTTCATAATGTCATTTGCGGCTGCATGCCATTGGAAATAGCTTGGTGTGGCATGCGTCCCATAGGTTGCTGATCCCCTGGTCTGGGACATAACTATTCTTGGTTGTCAGTACACGCACGCACACACACACATATAAACAAATTAATGGATATTATTTTAAATCTGACAATATCTCATACTAGCCTAGCCTGGGTGGAGTTTAGACTAGCTCCTGCTGAGGGCTTTAGGACCTTTAGCTGTTTACCTTTAGCGTCCTATGTACATAAAAGTTATAAGAATTTAGAAATAATAAAATTATTTTATCTTTTTTCGACCCTATCTTTCTTTATATATGCAACTAATCACCATAGTTTATTTACATTTATTTTGTGCACAGTTTTTTTTCATTTAAAATCACCATTCTTTATGATCTCTTCATATAAAGTCACTCTTAAAAGACATTAGGGAACCCAAACTATGTAATATTTCAAATACGTCACAGCATGTGTGCTACAAAAAAACATGAGCAAAATACCGTACACTGCTCAAGTTTTAATTAAACAATATCTATTGCAACGACAAGCAAAGTTAAAATTAAACCTCTAATAAAGAATTGTTTTTAAACCTTTCACCGTGTTTGATATTTAAATTTAAATGAGTTATTTATTTAATTTTTAATGGCATGTAACTACAATACTGTTACTTCAGGTTGTTCATGATTTGCTAAGATGAAAAAATGGATGGACACATGTACACTGCACTTTATTTATATAGAAGATTACTTAATATATTTTCTGTTTATATGTTATTTTTAAGATATAATGGCTCTCCACTTCCCTTTATTCCTTGAAGCTCTTAACAAGCTCCTTCCCTCTGCCATCTCCCCCAGAATATGTTCTGTCATCCACTTGCTACCAGCCGGAATAAAAATAACGTATAAACAGAAAATATATTAAATAATTGTCAGACAATTTATTATTGTCATTTCTTACATTAAATTATGTTTTGTGAGAAGAGTCATCAAAGGTATGTGTTTATAAGACAGTAATTCGGACTTTGCTAACCAAGACGCTTTTCTGTGGCTATATAATTATAATTGGTCTTGAAAAGACCTCCAATCTGTTGTTGACTGAGGCAAGAAATAGCTGGTTAACTTTAATGCCTCAAAAATAAAATTGCTCTCTTTTACCCATCACAGAGAACCTTCCCTGTCTCCCATTAGAAAGTCTGATGCTCAACTCCGCAAGAGAACCTCTCTGTGACTGATTGGTCTCACACTATCTGCTGACTTGAAGTGGAACAAATACATTGAATGAATAGCTTCATCTGCCACAAGGAAATTTGGTTCTGTGTCGCGCCAGAAAATATTTCTTACCAGGTATTGAACTCACACTCTTTGGCTTCTGTCACTGGATCTAATTAACGCCTTTATCCACTGTGCCATGTGTCCTTGAGGCTGGTTAAGGTGGTGGAGAACTTTGAGAGGGGAATTAACAGGAGATAACTGACATCCATTAGACATGGCACGTGGAACTAGAACAGTCTACCCCAGTGAGCGAAATAAAGAGTTCAGTTCCACATTCCAATCACCAAAAGAAAGCCGGAGTGTACAATGGCCGAAACGTTGTGATAAAAATGGCGACAAAGATGAGGACAATAGTCTGAATAATGTAAATAGTGAAAAGGAAAGTGACAAAAAATAATCTTATTTATTCTTGGTCAATATTTGAACTTTTTCTTGTTATAGAAATATGCTGCTGTTGATCAACAAGGTGATTTAGGGAACTTGAACAAAAACCTGTTCAATCTTTTTTTTTCTGTTAACTCAGTATTTTCCAGGTCTCTCCAAACATTTTACATATCTTGAAATCACTCCACCTGGAAATAATTTCACTAGGTATCATTTTCTTTATTTTAGGAAATCGTCCTCTTACATGGAATCTTATTTGATTATTTATTGAAAAAAGACAAATTATTGCCTGTTCAATAATTCTAATTTATTTTTTTTCCCTGCTAAATTTCAACAGAGAAAATAACCCAGCTAAAGACAGTTTTAGACAAGAACATGCAAGAGAATATGAAGAAAGAAAAGATTCTGGAGGAAAGGAATTACAAATTGCAGGAACTGAAGGCTACTTACGAAGAAATCAATTCTGAAGCCAATGATATCATCCATAAGAAAGAAACGATGGAAAAGGATTTACAAAAAATTATGGAGCAGATTTCTGAGGAGAAAGAGAGTAAGTCACTTGTTATTGTAGCAAACTTAAACATACATGCATATTGTCATTATTGTAACAATAAGACATTTACTTTCTTCCTGAAATGCACACTGGCAATTGTCATGGTAACAACAAAAAATTTTTTTTTTTTTTTTTTTAAGTTAATGTAAACTTCTCTTGAAGCAAACTTCTCTTCTAATAGTTTTTTGCTCCCCCCCCTTTTTGTCTAGGTGACATTAATGTGGGTGGAGGCAAAAACTGCCTATACTGTCAACCAGCAACACCTCCCTACTATTAGGTACCCCAAACTACCTTAGTTTACAATGCAAAGTAGTGAAACCTGTCAAAGTAGTGAAATTTTCTTCCATTTAAATTCTCTTGTCTTGTCTTGTAACAGCATTCACCCAAGGTGGGTTGAGCCGGCTCCAATTGAATTAACCACATCGCGCATCAAGGCGGTAGGGGGAAGTTCACCGAGAGAATTTTTATCTTGGAAGCGTTAATTTTCATCCCCACCATTTTGACCATGCGACTGACCTCGTTGAGTGCATGCTAGATTTCTGTGTAGGGCTCGCTAAGGATTGCAATGTCAAATGCTGTGGTGAAATCAATGAAGCAAACGACGGTAGATTGCTGATAAGCCCATTGCTGTTTGAGAATTTGCCTGAGGGAAAAAATTTGATCTATGCATCCTCTGCCTTTTCGGAAGCCTGCTTGGTTAGGACGGGTTTGGCGGTCCCAGATATTCTGGAAACGACGCAGTATGATAACAGAAAATCTTTGAGGCGACATCAATCAAATTGATGCCTCTATAGTTGCGACAATCGCAACGGTCGCCCCTTTTTTGTAAAAGGGGAGGAGAATTGCATCGCTCCAGTCCTGAGGTAGTTGCTCAGAATGCCACACAGCGTCGAGCATAGGGTGTAGGCATCTGGCCATAAGGTTAGGACAGCTCTTGTAGAGTTCCACCGGAAGACCGTCCTCGCCAGCAGCTTTGTTATTCTTTAGTCTTTTGATGACATCACGTATCTCTTCTTCCATTGGAGAATCGCAGTTGGCATCATACTCGGGGGCGTTTGTTAGGGTGCTAAGGGGACGTTGAGAGGGAGGGTTATGGTTCAGCAAGGTTTCGAAATGCTGCTTCCAACGGATTGTGCGGTCTGCCATCTGGGAAATGGGCATTCCATTTGTGTCCAGCAGCACTTCGCTTAGCCTGCTGTTTCCTTTTATTGCTGTTTTAAGAGTCTGGTATAGTTTTCGGGAATCTTCTACTGATGCCGCTTGCTCCGTGACTTCAACGACGTTTCGCGGTAAGTATTGAGATCAGCCTTCGCAAAGCAAGCAGTTTCACGGCGCAATCAGCAGAAGTCATCGTTCTTGGAGCAACGGGCTCATTTAGTTTGGTTTGTGAGCTCAATAGTGTGGCCAGAGATCCAGTCCTTCGCCCGCCGTCTGGTTTTACCCAGCGTCTGCGAGGCAACTTCATTTACGCTGCTTTTGAATAACTGCCAGGAGTCCTCAGCTGAATACTCAATGGGTTGAAGTGCTTGAAGACTGGCAAAGTGATTTGATAACCGGAGCTGGAACTTGGCTCTGGTTTGCTGGCATCTAAGTCGCGAGATATTGTATTTCACAGGGCAGTTAGATGGTAGGTTGGCTCTCATGCGAAGCCGCATCTTTGAACGAACCAAGACATGATCGGAGCCATGCTCATTGCCTCTCTCCACATCTTGCCCGTACCCGTCTGTGAGGAGCCCTGTTCAACATATCCATAATAGCTGTTTATGCCCCAACTCTTGATGCTGATGAAGTCACCAAGGACGCCTTCTACGACAGCCTCCAGGCTGTTATGGACAGCATTTCTTCTGGAGACTTTGTGGTTGTTTTGGGTGATTTCAATGTGCGAACTGGTTCCATTTCAATTGCTGATATCTCATTTATTTTCTAGACTATTTTGATTAAATTTGTATCTGAACAAAATTTAATCTTTTCTGTTTTTAAAGATACAATTCCCTTATCATATATGATTTGTTTTTATTCCACATCTTTTTAAATTATGTTACTATTTCAATGATGAACAGTGTTTTTTTTTTGTTTTTTTTTTCCCTGTATTTTCAAAGTTGATGATTTCATAGGAGTGTTTTCAAATTATATGCACTCCAAGTTCTCTGTCTGCATATATCAAAATAGTCCCATCCTAAAAAAAAAAAAATAAATAAAAGTATTCACATGAATTTGGTGGGTGAACCATAAGGTTTATAGTTGTCTTTTCTAAATTGAAAACTTTAATGGATGAAATACCAGAGAAATTCAACACTAAAAAAAACAAATGAAACGTACACCTCATTGTAAAGCAATGTCTCATCTTTAGTAACCAGTTGGTTTCATATTTCTATCCCTACACAATTCAAGGCTCACATGAATCAAAAAGAGTCAGGTTTGACACATCAGTATTTGTATTGCTGACTGAGTGAATGAACATCACCATCTAGATCCAGGTTTAAATTAGATTTTTTTTCATTGATGAATTTTACAATTTAAATCTTTTTCTTATATTTTTTTTTTTAATGATACATTTTAAAACTGTATAAAGCAATTATTTATTTTTAAAATAAATTCGAGCTGACAATTTGGACAAAATGAAATATTGTTTTATTTTGTCCAAACTGTCAACTCAAATTGCTGTTGTCTAAGCTATTCTTCTTATTTTCTTAAAAACATTTACTGAAATAATACAATAAAAAATAAACTGGGTATATTTTTAGATCTTTCAATTTTCGTCATTCTTGTTCAATCATAAAGAACTTTTATTTGTCATTTATAAAGTATTGCTACGTATTTACTGAAGAAAAATTTTAAATTTGGAATAATTTAAATGTGTCCTTTTGAAGTTGTTTTGTTTATATCTGAAAGTCTAATCCTTATTTGTGGAAACAAAAAAAAAACAATTTTAAAAATACAAAAAAAATTAAAAAATGAAATTTTAAAAAATAAATTTAAAAAATAAAAGTAAAAATTTTTTAAAAAATACAGGAAGAAAATTAAAAAAAAAAAAACATTTAAAAAATAATGCTTATTTTTGCTTCTAGCAGTGAAAATAACATTTATGCACAGTAACCTGTGAGTTGTCATGACCACAGTAGCCTTCTAATATTAATACTGGAAAATGGGAGTAAAGATTACATTTTTCAGTTCTTAAAACATATCTTCATTTAACACAAAAATCCCCTATTGGAGGAATTTCAAAATCACAATGAAAACCTACAAGTACATTATTAAAAAATAGATATTCATTGTAGTTTTTTTTTTGTCACATGTGAAAGAAAATATTTAAATTATGCAAATACAGCTCTCAGCAAAGGTGTTTTTTTTTAGTTATTTTTTGGTAAGTTTTATGATGAACATTCACTATGTTCACAGTTGAATTTGAATATATTTATTTACTCAAGTAACATCTCCCAGAGATTTTTCTATTATGTAAAAGATTTTGTCATATACCCTCAAAATTTAAATGTTAACAATATATGAAAGGTAAGGTGGAACTGACTAATAAATAAAAAAAAAAATGACATGCATCACTTGAACCTTGAGCATGCTCAAACACAACCAAAATACAGCTTGGTTAGACATGAAATAAGCAACAGGGTGGCAATCAATTTTTGACATTTCAAGAAAGCATGCTGTGACACTATTTAGGGTTGCATGAAAAAAAAAGCAAAAAAAAAGCGAGAATTAAATTAGGAGATAAGAATCTATCACGAAAAGACGATGTCATTTTTTTTCTAACAAGGAAAAGTGATAAAGATTTTATTTTCATTAGCGAAGAAAGTAAGGTCGTGGATCTGTTGCATTTGATTTATGACGGTGTACTGAATGGTGAAAATTTCAGGTCGGTCAGGTGGCCTACGGGGCAGAATTCTAAGAGATAAAAATTAATTCGGTCGCAGGAGAAATGTCCATTGAATCACCCAGGTTACAAAGAAAGAAAGACTGACCCATTAGCTATCTACGGAGATGTCGTTTGGAAAAGGCACCTGTTTTGTGTCAAGAGCTGGCCATGATAGCAAAATTATTTTATCAGAACAAATAATTGGCTGTGGATATCGCCAGATGACCACCCACTTGTTTGGCGAAGGTCTCGATTGATAAAGTCCAGGTGACATTCGGTTAAGATAAGAGTCTAAGGATTTGTTGTCAAGACGAAGAAAAAGAAAAAGGAAGATAATTTTTTTTTCTTTCCTTGAGCAAGATTTTTTAAACCGAGGCTAGTCCGGCCACACCCATGCTGCTGAGCGCCCATTGGCTGAATGGTGGCGTGAGCGGTAGGTGAAGGTAATCATGTGAAGGAGGAGGAGAGGCCTGTTGACGCCCCCTCTGAAGGGATCGGTGTGAGATGCCACTGTGAGAGAGAGGGGAAACCCATTAACACCCTCTGAGGGCATGGGTGAGATGCCAATATGAGAAAGGAAGAATTTGGGAGGACGAAAGACTTCCAAAAATGGAAATTAATAATTCTTCCTGACCGAGAACAAAGAAAAACCCTTAATGCGGATTTAGAATTATCAATGAACCTCAAACCCTGACAGGCCCACCCCAGCTTTGGTCAGTGTCCATATAAGCAGAGTCGCAACGAGTGGACGGCAGTACAGTTCACAGCTGAGTTTAGACAGACAGGCAAGCAGTTGCAGTGAGCTGAGAGCTCTGAAGGCCCACCTCGCAGAAAGCTGACTAAGATTCCACGCAATCACGACCTCGACTTCTAACCAAGAACAATTTATTTTTGAAGAACAACTTAGACTCACACCACCAAAATAAGTTTTACGAATATCACCTGAAGATATACCAAGAACCAGTTTCTTAAAGAACAAACAACTTAAGATGTTAAGACTCGCCTAACAAACATAAAGTGTCACAAATCCATATAGCGGTTTGGGAGAAAGACGCAGTCCTGTATTCAGCAACCAGATATAAAATATTGTTATCCTCTTTTAACACATTTGAACTTTTTGAGTTATTAC